TTTCTCTTATGCATTTTATGCCTTAATGTCATGCTCATCACTTAGGAAATTGCCATGGTTTTGGAAGATCTGTGCTGCAAATGGGATGCAGAACAAATACATGCTAACTTATGCCATGGAATATTATCTAGCAAGGAAAATGAATGAAGTGCTGATACAAACATTGTACAACATGCATGAACCTTGAAAATAGAATAAGTGAAAGCAGCCAGTCACAAATTATACCTATTGTGTGATTGCATTTACATGAATTGTCTGTAGTAGATAAATAAATCCACACATACAGAAAACAGATGGGCGATTTTTCTATACTAGAGAGGTAGGGACACAGGGAGGATTTGTTAATGGGTTAAATTTCATTACCTCAGAAGTTCATGAATATGTCCTAACATTAAGTTGTGACAGTTCTACAACTATGAGTTTCTAAAACCCACTGAATTGTACACTTTAAAAAGGGGAATTTTTGGTCTATGAATATAAGTGTACTAGTTGATATTTAAATTAAAGGAAGAGGGCCTCCCTGGTGGCTCAGCGGGTGAGCACTAGGTTTTGAAGCTGCCCGCAGCCTCTGCAGTGCCAGTTCGATCCCTGGCTGCTCCCTGGCCACCAGAAGAGGGTACCACATGGTGCGCAGTCCTCTCCTGCTGTCTGCTGCTCCCCTCAGCAATGTACTTCATGCCTCTGCCTGCTCTGCTCCCCACTCTGGCTCTGGTGAATTCTCTCACCCTCCCCACACTTCTGACTGTACCCAGTGCTTGAATGAATGAATGAATAAATAAATATTTTTTTTTAGAAAACAAATTAATTAATTATTGAGGAGGGGCTCCCTGGTGGCACAGGTGGTTGAGTGCTGCACTGTGAAAATGTTTTCAGCCTCTGCAGTGCGGGTTCAATCCTGGCTTGCCAGCAAGGGTCCCACATGGCTCAGCCGACCTCTCCTGTCTCCCTGATTCTCCCCTCAGCATTTTATTTTGTCATTCTGACAGTTCTGTTCCCTGCTCTGTCTCTGGTGAATACTCTCAGCCTCCTGTGCATCTGCCCTGTACCCCAGCTCTTTTATAAATGAAAAAAAAAAAAAGAAAATCTTAAAAAAAAAATAAAATAAATGAAGAGATTGCTTCCATGGGCATTTAAATTCAATTTTAAAAACCCTGTAAGGGGGCTTCCCTGGTGGCACAAGGAGTTAGATGCAACCTATGAAACTGTCTTCAGCCACTGCAGCCCAGGTTCAATCCCCACCAGGGAGATATCCACACGGTGCAACAGACCTCTCCTGTCTCACACAAAACTGCTTCCCTGAGTGGTGTATTTCAGTCAATCCACCTGTTCTGTTTCTCACTGTCTTTGGTGGATCCTCTCACCACCCACAATCCCTGCATCGCTGGCCTGTACCCCAGCTCTTGTATGCATAAATAAACAAATATTTTTTTTTTAAACAAAACCTGTAAGACCACAAACGATACTGACTTGAGGTCAGAACCTGTCCTGGTAGACAATTTCTATCCTCTGGGTGACATTTATGCTTGCTGTCTGCATCTAAGGGGCAGATTTCTCTTTACCCTCCCTGGACTCTAATATGTACAAGGCAAGGCCATGTCTTCCAGGTTTTGTCTCCTGTACTGAGCACCTGCTGTGCTGGGCTTGCAGAAGGAATCATACATGTTTGTTAAGTGCATTATATCCCATTCACTCATCCCATCCATACTGATCAGTATCAATCTAACACATGTATCATGCAAGAGAGAAAAACAGACCCCAGAGTACAAGGCAGAGATGGTTTGAAATCCAAAGTGCTTTGGTGAAACTCATATAAAGCATCAGGAGTGAGTCATAGATTAATATACAGGGACCCTTGATTCCTGGATTTGCACTACCCCACTCAAGTCTGTACTACTTGTATTAGCCCTTTACAGAAATAACGGGCACTTTTTAAATTGTTCTAAATGTACATATAAAGGCTATTTCTCTGCCCTATTCACCAAAGGAAACTTGTCTTCCTCGGCATCAAATGCTGCATGTCTGTCCTCTCTGAAAACAATTTTAACATCAGTAAGAAAACCTTTAACTCTATGGATCTGGGTTTTCATTTCCTAACAATTAAGCTGTCATTTCATACTGTCCACAATCTTCCACTTCTTTCATTTTTGGAGCATATCAAGTTGGGATAAATTATAAATTTGACTCACTCAAGATACCACCTGAAATCATTCTATTTTATCAGTGTCCAGAATGTAAACAAACAGGGCAGATTTGTTCTTCAATAAATTCAATGTTATGCAATGGAAGGCTGTGATTTCTTAGTATAATAAAACTGCAAGCAGGGTGACCATGTGGTGTCAGTCACAGAACATAATGCAGACACAAAAAGGTGAGAGTCTCAACGGGTGGGTCTAGACCTAGAGAGCACAGATGTTTTGGTGGAGGGACATTCATTATCTACTGAGTGTTTGGTGTCCTGAGTCCACCCGGGGCAGGCTCTCCTTGGAAGCATGAAGTTGTCTATCAAAGTCTTGTGCTGGATGTTTCACCTGCAGCCCAGCTTCCCCTTCCTCACCCCCATTCTAATTCAGCCCCCATTTCTGTGTCCCACTTTGCCCAAGGCAGTCCTGGGAAATGATTCAATTCCTTCAGGAAACCCATCGTGTTGTAGAAGAGATGAGGTCTGTTATCTTGCATCTGTAGGTGACAGTGGGTCAGCACTAATGTTATTGAGGGCACAGCTGGAAACGGAAGTGTGCTAATTAGCCCTGAATTAATGGTTGCTGGACTGGGTAGGGTTATATAATCACCATCTCTGGTGCAGTCCTCATTTAAAGCTGAATGCATTTTAAGCATGTAGGGCCCCTTGCACATCCCGAAAGAGCCACGCTAGGGCATGTAGATTTGAGAAAACATTGCTCTTCAGGCCATAGTTCTGCCCCTCAAAGACTGCAAGCACGCTACCACCCAAGGCTTGCCCCTGCTGGTCCTTCTGCATGTCCTTCCTTGCTTTCAGAGAGGCTTTCCCTGAAGTCTTGATTTAAGACAATATGGCCTTTATTCTTCCTTGTTTATTTCTTCTCCATAGTGTTAACCGTCAAGCTATCCAACACACTGCAAGCTTAGCGATGTTGATGATGTGTCATCTTTTTCATTTTTATTATAGAAGCACCATTGGTTTACATTTTTGTTAGTGTTTTTGGATAGAATTTCCCCTCAGGTGCAAAAACCTGTACTTGTGTGCTTAGCAGAGATGAATGGATTTCCTTCCCCAAATGGAGTTTTTAAAGGAATAGAGGAACCAAATGAAGAAATATCTCAGTGGCCATATGGAAGAGATAATGTGGTATATATACATATATACACAATGGAATGCTACTCTTTAATCAAAAAAAGATAAGTTCACACCATTTATGGCAACATTAATGGAACTGGAAGCTATTATGCCAAGCAAAGATAGACAGAAGGGCAAAGATAAATACTGGATGATGTTACTTTTCTGTGGAATATCAAGAAACCAAAGAAAGTTTGTCAGAGACAACTTTAGATTCAATTTTTTGGTGATGTGTCTTCTTACCTAGGAACACCAGCACCTTGAGGGCAGGGACAACAGAGTTCTTCTACATATAGTAGGCTAAGTTAACAGTTTAACCATCAACTCAATGCCTTCCAGGATAGATCATATTGCACAGGTTTGCTGGACCTGTAGTAATGTTCTGACAGGTCTATGACTCCAACCCCCAATTTAAAAACCAATAGCAAGTCCAGATTTGATTTAACAAAGTCGAGACAGTCAGAGTTACCTGTAATGTGGGGAGATGTAAGGACAAATGTTATGGAATCTCTTATTTTGACAAGTGCCCTCAGACACGCTTGTCCCTCAGGTCATTAGCTCATTTCCTTTGTCTAGCAACTTATAAACACGATAGGACTGTGGACTTTCTGGACTTTTCTTTGCTTCTCACCAGAGGAACTCTTCAAAACAAACAAAGTTATTGTCTTG